TCAAGGACGCGAGCTCAAAACCTCAACAATAATATCTTTTCAAAACCACCTCCTTCACAACATGCATCAAACAACGACGTCAAAAAAAACGAAACATTTCCTGAGTGAACGACCAGAGATGGCCCCTGTAAACATGCGCAAACATGACAGGCTCCACAGCGCCAAACCTTCGCTTAACATCTTCCCACTCTTCTTTCCTCTCATCCAAAATTAAGACAGCCCACAAAATGCAAAGAATGGGTTCGCAACGGTTGATCTTGGGGCGCTAGGTCGACTCACGGCAAATGTCCACCACAAGCTTGCAGCAAACAAACATGCACCAAGCGTGCAAGGCTTCAATCAGACTGCAGAAAAAAGCAGCTGACCATTGATCCGCAAGCCTTGATTGCTTTCGATCAAGAACATCATACATGCCAAACGCTTTCTTTCTCCCCAGCAATTCTCAACCCTCACAGGTTTTCCAAACTTTTTGCTTCTTCAAGGAATCGAAAAAAGTGATTTTTCTGGACACCAGTTTGGGGTCCAAAAAACCCCAGCAAAAACCGGTCTCGCCACACAGGGCCTCCCCAGAAGTCATTCTGAAGAGTCTGCGCACGAGCTGAGTGCAACGATGCCAGTCAAAGGAACTTCGCTCCTCCCTCAAAACTGTGACCAAAAGGCCACTGCCTCGAGTGGCGAAAGTGATAACTGGGTGCTTGGCAGGATTGCATTGTTTGTCAGCAGGTCTGATTCTTGCTCAGGAAAATCAGTTGTTGCCCTGCCTAGCATGCCGTGGAAAAGTCCCTTCTCGTTGCACAACCCTTTCAACTGATTGCACGAACGAAGCGAGAGGCATGTCAATGGTCAGCAGCAGAGGCAGAGAGCGAACGAAGAGAGCTTGCTGACAAGAATGCTGCATTCTACCCCCGAAGGAAGGTCTCCTTTGCACCCCTTTCAAGAAGGGCTAAGGCAGTATACTCTGTTCCAGAAAGAAACAGAGGTGCCAACGTGAAAGCATCCTTCTGTTACGTGCAAGTTCGTGTGAAACAGGTGAAACCGTGGACCTATCCTGGCATGGTACTTGTGCCTCTTTGTACAGCAATGGTTATGGCATGGCCGCCGAGAGAACTAAGGTTCTCCCTGGCCGCCTTCCATTACCATTCTCTACCACCCGCCTTTTGGAAACGAGAAGCTAATCGTAGCTGGTGAAGCCGAAATGGTGACTCTGCTTGAGCTTTGGCACGCCTGGCTCGCATGATCGAAGCGGCAGAGCAGCAATCCATCCCCACTGTCGTCAGAACGTTGCCGGTCTAGGGTATGGCTTCTTGAAAGTCTTCTCTTCATTGGTCTTTGGCATTTGGCGGCAAGAATCGAAGCCACTTGGACTTGTCTAGTTGCTCACATTTGTCAAATGCATTGAGCCTGGCATGTGCACCTCGCCATGTTTTGCTTTTTCCTTTTTTGCGAACTGCTCGAAGCTGCGTCGGTACCACCTCAATCCGAGAGGATCAACGGATTGCCACAGGCCCACGCTTTGTCCACTGGTGCCATACTTCGCCCAATCTGCAGGCACGGTAAAACCCAAAGGTCGTTGTAAAAACACATCGAGGACCAACTCGCCAAAGCAGGCTCTGACACGGAAGACATTTTGGCCCTTACGACCACTCGTGAAGGGGCCACGAACCTACGCAATTATTTCTCCATTGCAAAGAAGAAGGCGAATGCAGAGACGGCAGTCAAGGTGGCAGGCGCCACCGCCAAGCATTGCATCGTCATTCATGGTGTGTCAACATTCCTCAGTGGTGAAGGACGCCACCTAGACTACGACCAGGAATGCTTCACACGAGCGAATCCGAGCCACTGATCTTGCCATCTTGGCATGCCCATTGAACATGCAAGGAATGCCTGGGGCCCTGCAAGTCTTAGCCGCCCTCCTGCATGGTGTCCAAACAACATTTTTTCCTATGACAGCAATGAAGAGCCTGCTGTCTTCGGCTCGTTGGACCTTCGAGTCACTCAGGTTGCGCAAGCCACGACGTTCTTCCAACATGCACTGCTGCCCCGTTGGATTTGGCTCGGCCCTCTGCTGGTCTTCTATCTCGCAGAACACCATCACGGCAAGGTGAGGCGCTTACGCCTCGTCTTAGCCACGATTACGCACTTGACCAAAGCGGAAATCACCAGCCTCGTGGAAGGGCCCAACCCGCCTGGTCCTGGGCAGAAAGAGCCCACTTTAGTGGTGCCCTTGACCCGTCTTTGGCACAAGCTTTCTCGTTTCCCTCCCTTCTACAGTTGAGGCTGCGCATCGAAGTCCCATTGTGGCGAGACCTGACTGCTGCCAAACATCCCAATGCAGACCTGCCTGCAGAAGAAGAATCTGACTCTGACGCTACAGGGTCAGCTGAACGGTCGCCTAAGCTTGCTCTCCCTGTGCCAGTGGGGCTTGCTGAACCACCAGAGTTTGGCACTGAAGAGGCCACGGAGGACGAGGACATGATGGATGAACCCAACTACACCTTTGCCAAGGGGTATGGACGCTTCGGCACAGGCTATACCCGATTAGCAACGGCGCTTGGCAATTTTGAACAAGGGAGCATTGACGCAGAAAGTGCTGTCGTGGCTCAGTGGCTGACTTCCGGGCTACGTGTTGCCATGGCCCGCGCAGGATGGCGCCTGATGTCTCCCCGCCTGATGCTGACCAAAGTCCCTGGTAGCGTCCTCAGACCACAATGGATATCCTCTCACTCCGAAAATGGCAGATCGCCCATACAATCAATATGGCACACAATCCTATACCAAAGAACGATGGGACCAGCTCTGTGTATGGCTCACTGGGAACCCCAACTTCAGGCTGCAACTTTCTGACCACAAGCAGGCGCTTCGAGACCACATGGGCTATAGTCAAGAAGCCACTGACCCAGGTAATAAAGCTCGCCGAACCGTCCCCCCGCCAGAATCGGGAAGCTCCTCGTCGGCAGCGTGGCCCTCTTGGCACAGTAGGCCCTCCCCATCGCCCTCGCCCTATGGGTGGTCCTATGGTTGGTGGCAGTAAGGTAGTTGGCAGTAGGACTCATCCAGATCAACAAACGACTTCAAGTTGCTTGATCCTTTTCAGGGGGTGGGTGGCCTTAGCCACCCTCCTACTTGTGGCCTAATTGTCATAACAGGGCTCGCAAAGATTATCTCCTCGGTGTCTCTGTGATTTGGCTCAAGCAAACATAGCGAGCGCGTGCGAGCTACCGCCTACGCGACAATGCCGACTCCCCAAGACCGTTATGAGATCAACCTCGAGTTGGTTACCGTAGCAGGTACGGTATATGCAATGCAGACAGACCTCTCCCACTATGAGGACGTAGCAGAGCTTGAAGATGATATTCTCTGCTTTCTGCCGACAGTCTCTGATTTAGATGTCTTCGGCTGTGAATTGGAGTTGCTCAACCTCCAAAATCAGCAACCCCGCCAGAGGCATTCCGCACTGTGCTCCTGCAACGACCGCAGCTCCAAATTGTCGTCCGTCCCTGCATGGTAGATGGGCATTCCATCTGGCAGTTCCAGGATGACGGCAAGGAGAGCTACCCCAAGGCTGTTCGCGTCCCGCCCAACCCGAGGGGAGCTGTTGCCGACAGAGCATTTTATGCTGCACCTTCACTTCGGCATGTAGAAGTGACAACTGGCATTCGACATGTCGGAGCTGCGGCTTGGCAGGCGTGTCAGCAACTACAAATTGTCAAACTCCCGCCCTCGGTCATAAGTCTGGCAGAAGGGGCTTTCCTAGGGTGCTATGTGCTGCGAGAGGTCGTCGCCCCGGGGTGTATCCGATATGGTCCAAGGG